AACCAAGCCCACGACGTGGGAAAAGGTGTCACGACGTGGCAAGGGCCAATTTTTCCCTATAAATTTATTTGAAGGGCCAGCAGTTTAGGGTTGCTATTTTCTCTTCTCTCTCTCTCTCTCTCTCTCTCTCTCACGTTTTACATTGATTTACGTGCAAGAAATATCCCAAAGCCCCAGTATCAACCCCGAGACCCGAAGCGAGTCCCGAAGCCCCGAAGATCCCGATAAGAAAAGAGTTTCCAAGCCGAAGCTCTGCCCGCGAGAAACCCGGTGTATGAAGATATCCCGGTTTCACCGAAGAATACTACTCTTAGAGCTGTAGTGTTATCCAATTATCTTCTGATCAAGTGAGTGTATAGTCCCTTTCATAAACACGATTTTAATACAAGTATTGTTTGAATGTATTAAGTATATGTATTGCGTCAGTGTGTAGTTACTTTCTTCTAACACACACACACACACACATATATATATACATATATATATATATATATATATATATGAAGTGTTTGCCATGAAATACGTGCTATGTGTTATATATTGTTGTCTATTTGAGATGGGCGTGGAATTGATGTTTTATACATGTGTTAAATGGTTTAAACTATGTAAGTATTTATATCTATGAAAATTTTGGGTAGAACATGGGTAGATAGGATAGCTGGTGACTATGGAGTTAGCACATATTGTATAAACCTTGGTGACTATGGAGTTAGCGCCTATTGTATAAAACTTGGTGACTATGGAGTTAGCGCCTATCGTATGAACCTTGGTGACTATGGAGTTAGCGCCTATTGTATAAACCTTGGTGACTTTGGAGTTAGAGCCTATCCTATGAATCTTGGTGACTATGGAGTTAGCGCCTATTGTATAAATCTTGGTGACTATGGAGTTAGCGCCTATTGTATAAACCTTGGTGACTATGGAGTTAGCGCCTATTGAGTAAACCCTGGCAACGATGTGACTTCGTGCCTATACCTTAGGTAAATCCTTAGGAATAAAGGATAGATGATTCTTAGGGTAGATCCTTAAGATAAATGGAGGTAATGGGGATGGGTATTGGGTTGATTGTTTGATGATTGTGTATATATATATATATATATATATATATATATATATATATATATATATATGATATAATATTGTGGGTTGAAAACCCTATATGCTCACCAGGCTCCCAAGCCTGACCTACTCAGTTTAATTGTATCACAGGTTTCGATACGAAGCTGCTTTGCACTAAGAGATCAAAGGAGATGTAAATCACTAGAGTAAATGAATGTATGTTCTGTTTATGCTTATGTGTCTGTATCGGAACATGACATCCAGAGGTTTTATTATTTAATGAAAATACATTCTCTTTGAGAAATGTTTTGATAAGTTTTATCATATCTTGTTTTGGGAACAAATTCCACAACCGTTTTCTTTAAACGATTACTCTGATTTATAAAACAAAGAATAAACAAATCGGTATTTTCTGGCCGTGAAATTGGGGATGTCACATGATCTCACATTGACATACCAGTTAACCACGCACACTCCATTAATAACCATAAACTTGAAGATGTTCCATTGTAGAATTTGTAGCCCCAATTAGTGTGTTGGTTAACCACGCACTCTCCACCAACGACCTATAATGAACCGATGTGCGTTTTAATGGATTATCATATACAATTTCAAATTTTTTCCTAAGTAACTAGAGTAGGATTTATAGAAGATTTGAGTACTTATGTGTTATAATTTTAATGTGATTAGTGTCCTATCAAACTCGTTCGGCTAATGCCCCTCCACCACACAAAGAAGTGGTGGGTGCAAAGGGAACCCATTCAACTATCTTTTTATAGGTCGTTTCCTTATACCTCTCGTATACTATGGCTTTATGAATCATATCTACTATTGATTCGATTGGATTTTAGTTATACGTATAATATTATAACTTTTATAAAAATGTATAAGGTGTATTTTAAAACCTTTTGAAAATATAAGGTTTAAATTTAATTATCTTGATTAACTATTAATTAATTAATGTTTTAAATCATATTTGATTTAATATTTATCTTTTAATTAAACAATTAGTTAAATTAATTAAATCATTTAAGAATTAAATAATTATCTTTAATTAGACTTATTAATTAATTAATCTATTTAATCTTAATCCTTCCTAATTTTCGAAAATTAGGGTTTAGGTTATCTAGTTTTAGTTGTTCAAATTTTAAGGCATTTAAAATAACAAATAAGGAAACTAGGAAACCTAGCAATTTTCAAAAAAGGAAATCAGGCAAGGGATTTTCAAAAAAAACCCTAGAGGGTTAGGAATTTCTTATTTTCCTGGTTTGTTATAGGGTTTCACAAACGTGCAAATTATAGAACAAACTTAAGGCTTTGATACCACTGATGGGTTTTCTAGACTACCTCTATGTACTTGCGGAATTTCACATAACAGTTATGGGCACATGCAACCTAGAAATTTTATGGATTTTCTTATAATAGAAGCATAATTTGAAAAAAAAAAACATTACCTAAGCTAAAGTAAAATATTACAAGGTTTGGTTACATAACTTATTATTATTATCCTAAATAGCAATGTACTTTAAAGAACCCTTCTTTGGAATGGTAGCCCCAATAGTGTGCAAGCCTATAATGTGTCACAACCAAACCATAAGAAACCCTATGATTGAAATTAGAGAGAGGGAGAGGGATTTCAAAAATCCCTTTTGTTGTGCAGGGTTCTTAAGCCTTCTAGAGGCCCTTATTTATAGTTGTAGGAAACCCTGATTTGAATTCAAAATAATAATATTATATTGCAATTCAAACCACTTTCAAAATAACTAAAGTAGGCTTCCATAAACACTAGAAAGGGCTCCTCAAAACCGTCCCTACTAGGGAGTTTTTAGAATGCCTACTTGTTGAACTTTTGAACAATTGCATTCTAACCCTTATATCTATTAATAAATTATAATTAATCCAGAACCATTAATTAATTAATTATGATTAATTCTTCATTAATTATTTATGATTTCTAAATAGTATATTTATTCATACAATATATTAATAAACTATTTCTCTCTTTCTCTCTCTTTCTCTCTCTCTCTCTCTCTCTCTCTCTCTATATATATATATATATATATATATATATATATATATATATATATATATATATATATATATATATATATATATATATATATATATATATATATATATATATTAATCCAAGCTATTTCCCGGTTATGAGGGTAACCCAAAAATGACTTTACTATAGTTACTGAATATACCAACTTAGTTAAGACCATAGACACCTTAATCCAATACAAACTACCAAAGGCCCCTTGTGGAGTAGATACCATTCGAGTAATTGTAGAAAAATTGACAAAAGAGTTCCCACTCTATACCTATTCAGGAGAGCTCTTCGGCTGAGAAACTCGTCTATATTTACATTAAAGAGGTGGTTTCCTGACATGGTGTTCCATTTTCGATAGTCTCCGATAGAGATGTCCTTTTCACTTCTAGGTTCTAGAGGAAGATCCATGATAAGTTGGGCACACGATTTCCTTTTAGCACATTTATCATCCTCAGACCGACGCATAGAGTTATCCTACAACATCAACTAGAAATCCATTATTGGAAGGCCTCCATTTGAGATGTTTTATGGTGGGAAATTTCAGACTCTAATATGTTATGGAGAAGTCAGTCAGAGAGTTATGGGAAGCATTTTCGTCATGATCAAGACCACCAAACTAATTCAACAAGTACATGGGAGAATATAGACTTCTAAGAGTCGGCAAAAGAGTGATGCAGATTGATGTCAGTCTGATATCAAGTTTCTAGTTGGAGATCTAGTGTTGCTAAAGGTTTCACAATGGAAAGGCGTCATCAGGTTTCGGAAGTGAGGCAAGTTTGGCCTAGATATATAAGACCATTTCAAGTTATTGATCGGTTGAGAAAAGTTGCCTACTGTTTGGATCTACCGAAAGAACTTAGCCAGATCCACAACGCTTTCCATTTTTCTTAATTAAGGAAGTGCTTTAATGATGAATCCACGGATGTAACTCTAGATGATATTCATGTGGATGAGCATCTAAACTATGTATAAAATCCAGTTGCAATCTTGGATATGAAGACAAAGACCTTACAAAACAATGCAATTGATTTGGTAAAAGTACAGTGGAAACACATGAATGGATTAGAATGGATGTGGGAACCAGAAGAAGAGATGAAAAGCAACAACCTAGAGTAACTTAGTTAGATTTTGGGGACAAAAACCTTGTAATCAGGGGAGATTTGTAACTCCCTATTTTTACTTTATTGTATATTGTAATATAAAACATTTGTTATATTGAAGTAGATATATATAAATTTTTAGTCAAATTAATCATCATGAAATATGTAGCAGACGTCAATACGAAACTGTGAGTATAAAGAACATCTTTATCTGACTTCGTATGAAGAAATTTTGATTTTTCAGAGTTTCGTGTTTGACACGATACGACAATACGTGTGATAAAATATGAAGTGGAGATAGGTCACTTTTTAGCTAAAACACTGCAAATGAAAGTTGATGTCTACATAATTACGAATCCGTTGATATAAAGAACATCGAGAACGTAGTTGGTATGAAGATGTTATGATTTTCTAAATGTCTTTTACAATGTAATTCTCATAAACTATAAATTAAAAATAGAATGCAAATTAGTCAACGAAGTCTAAATGAAACTTTTAGTACTCGTTGATATGAATTCGAGGATATAAAGAACGTCGAAAATGGAGCTCATATGCAAAAGATAATATTTTTTGAAGTTTGCCAAATTTACCAGTGTAAGGTGACACAACACCACCCAAAATTTGACACGTGTTAGGCCGAGAACTGAACTTTGGTGCCCAAGCCAAGGTGTGGTGTGCCCCATCAGGAGAGCTTCTATAAAAAGAGTTTCAAGCACCCTCACATTCCTTGCTCATCCTCATTCAGGTTTCTCTCTCTAGAAACCCATTTTTTTCTCTCTATAATTCTAGCTTTTTGAGTCTCGAAGTGTTCGTAATGAAGTGTTGCGGCATTGGTAAGCCCGAAGAAAAGAAGTATTCAAAATCGAAGTTATGTCCATGACTTCACGAACTTCGCTAGCAAACATGTAAGTTGAGTTATACTTGTTATGCTTTAAATATAACTTATATTTATGTTCATAGTTAATTTTGAACGTATAAATAACATTTATTAGTAACACCACTCGTTATAGTATTGATTGATTACGTACGGGGGTGATGTCTAAGCTAGAACTAGTGAGGTGTTTAAAATGGATTTTCCAAAAAATATACTCTATATACCAAACAGATCCTACCTCAAATATTATCTTACTTGATCATTACTTATTATCTAAAACTTGAATTATACTTAGTATTGATGAAGGATCTAAATATTAGTCATTATAATCAAATAGTTATTAACCAAAAAATCATATTATAGGTTAATACGAGTTGGTCAAGTATTTTGCAAAAAAATACACACTTAGCTATTTTGAGACAATTCAAGTGAGTTATCTCACTATACTATGATTTACAATATATATATATATATATATATATATATATATATATATATATATATATTCATGTATGATTCGATTTAAGAGTTGTTAAAGTGGAATTGTATGCATAGACTGGTAGCGTTTAT